TTGAATAGCAGAGCAGTGAATATATCAAATAATTACCCTTTGGGAATGTCCAGCATTATGCCCACGTTATGATTTTTATGCAAATTCATGAGCCAAGAAAATATAGTAAATCCAATCACCTTGTGGGTTTTTGTTAAAAACACAAATTCAATTATTTAACGTTAAAATTATGTAATGATGTATTAATCGCTTACAAGCATTATATCGATAGGAAACGGTATATTTGTTTTAAATCGTTTCTTGATTTTTGGTTCAATAAATTCTTTGACAACTATTAACAGCCCGATGCCAAACGCCGATAGGCCTAAAGTGACCAGGTTAGTGTGGGGCAATTCCTTGGCTATACCTATCCAATCCTATGACCAGGTGTTGTAATAAATAGTGTATTAGTATTAATAACATTGTTATTTGTTGTGCTGTATAATGGCATACATTGACCAATTTAAAGGGCAACCCTTTGATGGGCTCTTTATCCTTGACTTTAATGTCAAAAAGGCTGTTGAGTTGAGAAGTGGCCACTTGTATGGCACAGCCGGTGGAAAAGGCCGACACTAATGTGTCCGATAGGATCACCGATAGAGAGCCCAGTTGTATGAAACCCATTAAAAACTATTGGATTCAATAATTTGGGACAATTATTATACATTTGATAAGAGAATTGTTAAATATTCAATTCAATAAATGTTAATTTTAATTGTATTTAAATAATAGATAACAATCGGAAAAGCAATGAGAAAACATTGTGTATATATTTGATGAAAAATTGTTTAAATTTACAATAAATTTGTTGTTTTAGGAAAAATAACAACAAAATTAAACCCATTTTTTAATTGTAATAAATATTTGCACACAAAAAAAGTTACAACAAACAAAATAGTGTTTAGCATTTAGAGCATACAGACTATGTTATCAATGTTTGCCAAAATGTAATAGTGTTTTTCAAATTGTCAATCAATTCCCCCAATGCTTTGGAAATTGTGTTTTTTGTTTCTATCAATCCTTTCAATGATTATAAGTATACATAAAAAAAAGCAAATTGTGTTTTGTTTTAAAATAAAACAAATTGTTTTGCAAAACAAAAAACAACTAAAAAACAAACAAATCATTCACTCATTTATTCTTGTCATTCATTCAATCGTTTTGATTGTAATCTTATATCAAATCAAATATTCACTGACTTCTCCACCGGTTGTTAGTCTCCTATTAACTAATAGTTATAATTGTTTTTATTAAACAACAATTTATTTCTTGTTTTGCGGCGATTTTAATCGTAACTAAACTTTATATATTAACTATATTCACTGACTTCTCCACCGGTTGTTAGTCTCCTATTAACTAATAGTTATAATTGTTTTTATTAAACAACAATTTATTTCTTGTTTTGCGGCGATTTTAATCGTAACTAAACTTTATATATTAACTATTATATACTTTTGGTCGACTGGTCTGAACCGGCCGTCTAATCATTATTAATATTATTAGTATTATTTAATTGATTTTTCTAATCGTTTCAAACCCTACATAACATTGGTTTTAATCATTGAGTCGTTTTGTCATATTCACTGACTTCTCCACCGGTTGTTAGTCTCCTATTAACTAATAGTTATAATTGTTTTTATTAAACAACAATTTATTTCTTGTTTTGCGGCGATTTTAATCGTAACTAAACTTTATATATTAACTTTGGTTTATATTAACGTAACTAAACTTTACTTTTGGTCGACTGGTCTGAACCGGCCGTCTAATCATTATTAATATTATTAGTATTATTTAATTGATTTTTCTAATCGTTTCAAACCCTACATAACATTGGTTTTAATCATTGAGTCGTTTTGTCTGTGTTTTTAAGATAAACTTAATAATACGATCGCAGAGTTAGATAACCATTTCAAACAACCCATCAGTGAATGTGACATAAAAAACATTAAATACTTGTATTACTAGTATCTAAAGATTGTGCACATGTTTTTCATTTACTAAACACTGATTTTAAAGTGTTTATTATTTTAGTTTTTATTTTAGTTAAATATTAATTAGTTATTTTAAATAATTTATTTATAAACCATACCTAGTTCAATTCTCTCTCTCTCTCTCAAAGATCTGATTAAATACTGAGACCAAGAGTTGTACGAAGAAGTTATAGTATAAGTGCCCGCATCTGCCCATAAAACATGTCTACCATTCAATTCCATACCCCCAGCATATGTCCCGGATGTTTGTCTCTGCGCTATAATTTAGATTTTTGCCAAAAACACATGTCTTATCGGAATTTTCAATACGAATACCTCTTTATATTAATGATTTTTCATTTGATATAACTATTAAATGTGATTTTACGATACATTTCATACCATAATCAATGCAATGAAATGTTATTAACATGGTTATTGTTGGCTATTTATTAGTACCTTAATAATCTGTGCCATTGGCTACAATTATTTGTGTCCCTATTATTATCAATAGTACACACGTTATATAGTGTTATATAATAGACATGATAAGTGATATTACTTTCAAAAACACCGGTTGTAACGATAGTATTATATAATGATTTAAGTTTTAACATAAGTACTTAACCAAATACTCGTGGTTAAAACAATTGTTTGTTTTTTGAGAGAGAGAGAGAGAGAGAGAGAGAAATAGCCTTTCAATGAAAATACATTTATTATAATAAACAAAGAAATCAAATTCTGGAGAGAAAACTTGA